GTTCAATTACCCTCTCCTCATAATTTTAAAGTATGACACATCAACTTGATTTCTCTATAATTTGCACACTTGTGCATCTTTTTGATTCTTAATGTTGGGGACCAAAATAATCTTCCTCTACTACTCAGATATTTAGTTTTTAAAATAATATTAAAGAGTCTAGTAAGCCAAGAAATTCCAAAATCTTCTAAATATTTCTACACTTCAATTGGGATATCATCAGGACCTACAGACTTTCCACCATTGATTTTCTTTAAAGCCTCCTTTAATTCTTTTTTTACAAATGCGGCAGTATAATAAAACATTTTATTATTATTGTTAACGATTTTAAGATCACTAAGGTCGATCTTATTTTTAGAAACTTCATTGAAAAATTAATCAAAATAACTTATCCACTTATGTTGAATATATTTTTTCTAAGAAATATACTTTTTGATTTTCATATTTAATACACTTGAGTTAAATTTTTACTTTACTTTTCTCTTTGTTTGACTAGTTTATACATATATTTTTCACCCTTGTTAGTATCTAATCTATTATAAAAATCACTAAAAATAAAAGTTTTAGCGTCAGATTATTCTCTTAAACTCTCTACGGGTCATTTTATATTTTTTCCACTTATCTAAGCTTTTACATTTAAAATTTTTATAACATAACTTCTTAAAAATTTTTTTTTTCGCATATTATTATTCTATCACCAATTATTTTTTATTTATCAAAATTTTTCCGTTTGATTCTCCAAGCACATCTTTCTCCACATGTTTAATAGTGTTTTTTGCTTTACCCCACTAGAATTTGCTTCATAAACATATTAAATCTTAAAATCTTAAAGTCTACTAAAAAAAATATTTTTTTTTTGTTTTTTAAGTGCCCCCATCTAATTATATGACAATTATTCATAATATTCTTTATTTTGAAACTCATCATCTTAAAATCAAAGACTAATAATCAATGTTGAGTACTTAAATCTTCACTAGGAATGACCTTACAATATTTATATTCACGACAATCTCTTCTTCTCATAAGAAAATAATCAATTTTGCTTTATTAGATCCATTCTTATAAGTAATAGTATGTTCATCTCATTTATTGAGTAAAGTATTAGCAGTAACAAAATCATACGCTAAAGAAAAATCTAATTTGGCTTAAACCGTAGTCACCATGAATATTTATAAAATCTTCTACCACTCTACCGACATATCCATTCAAATCTCCTCCAATAAAAATTCTTTCGTTAAGAGGTAGCATTTGTATTAAGTCATCTAGGTCATTCCAGATTTTTTTTTTTAAGAACCTATATCTAAATCTACTTGAGAAGCATAAACACTTATAATATTAAGATCTTAATATCATTAATAATCTTATAGGCTATAATTCTATCTTCAATTCTATTAATATTTACAACATTATCTTTCAAACAATTATCTATAATTACACGTACGCCATTTCTAGTGCGACTCTTACCTGAATATCGAAGTTTAAAACTTAAGTTATCAATCTCTTTAGCCTTTTCTCCAGCCCAATTAGTTTCTTGAATACGTAAAATTTTTATTTTTTTATGAATTATAATATCAATTAATTCCATTAATTTACTTGTGAGAGTACCTATGTTTCAAGATCGTATCATAATATTAGTTTATGGACTAAATTTTTTACGCACATCCGTTCGTAATGTGGTAAATCTTGTTTATTTGACACTACATCCAGACGCCGGTGTAGCGGTCATTGCATATTTTTCATTATATTCAAGTCATATAACACATCGATTTCAGTGGATGTCATAACATTTACACAGTGATCAAAATGATTTCTGTCATGATTTTTTGACAAATTTTACTGTGTTTGTCGACTACCTTACGCAACCCTCCACTTTTCACATCCGGGCTTGGAACCCGACAATGACAGTGTTAAAGTAGAGCTCCATAATTTAAGTTTTTCCTTTACTCTTTCTCTAGTCTTATCCACAAGAAGGATATCATCACCGAAAAACATTAGTAAGACATCGATAACTAAAGCAAAAAAATATGGGCTTAAAGTCGATCCCTGATGTAATCCAACTGAAATAGAAAAATACTTGGTCAATCCTATTTTTGTTCGAATACATGTAACACTTCTAATATATATATCTTTAATGACTTTAGTATAAGTCATATCAACACCTTACTTTTCAATATTGCTTTTATGCATAAACAGATAGCCAATCAAAAAGGATAAAATACATAATTTACTCCTTCTGTATACTTTGATTTTAGTGGGCAATGAGAGTCACATATATCATTGATAGAATTTGCATACAATAGTTATCATGCAAATATTGGAATGACTCCATATAAAACTCTTTATGGAAGAAAATACTGGACTTCATTACGTTGGAGTGTAATGAGAGAAAAGTTAATTGTACAAAGTTTATGGATGATGCTACTAAGAAGATCTGACAAATAAAAAAATAGATTGAAGGTTATTCAAGATAGACAATTAAAATAGTATGATACTAGGCATATACGAGTGAAATTTAATGTTAGGGAGTTTTTTTTTTCAATGACAATCCAATGAAATGTATGCAACAATAGCTCGGTAAGTTATTCTAAATCTACAACAATATTCAGTGCATAAAAAGAGAAAAAAAATGTATGTCAATTTAATATCACGTGAATGATAAAATATAAGTTATGTAACGTAATATGACACTTAGTATGTCACCCATCATAATTTAACTATTTTTTTTATCAAGATGTCAGAAATAAAATATAAAACTTATAGTTATCACCTCATCCCTTATACCTCAACTATATTTAGGTATGCCATGCACAAATGAATAACCATATAGATATATATGCATTTAGATCTCCACTTAAATACACATTGAGCACAATCACCCAACAACTTGCATGTTTTCTATTTTTTCTTCAACAACAACAACAACAACAACAACAACAACAACAACAGAGCCTAATCCCACTACTTGGGGTAGGCTACATGAATCCTTTTTCTCCATTGCGTCCTATTTAGTGTCATATTTTCATTTAGTTCTAGTAAATTAAGATCATTTTTTATACAATAAGCAATGTTTTCTACTTTTTTTTCATTTCATATATTTTAAAAACATTAACAGAAAATATCTATAATTTTTAAATATATGAACATATCTAGCATGTTATAGAAATTTATAAAAAATTCTATGTATAATAGAAAATAATATTTAAGGTTTAAAGTGGTATCCACAATTCAATAGTCATTAAACTCAAAATGCAATCACTGCAATATCATTTTCAGGCTTTTATTGCTCTAGAAAAAATTTTAATAGAATCTATATATCACTAAAACGCGTAAAATGTCATACAACAAAAAATATCCGTTGAAAAATTAGCATATATATATATATATAAAAGAAGGAAAGAAGCATTATTCAACTCCCTATATGTTAATCACAAAAGTTGAGTACAAAGATAGTGGTGAAAGAGAATCCCCCGAAGCTAAAAAACCAATAAAAGATACAGTACACACCCATAAGGGGGTTCCTCAACCACATTACAACTCCATACAAAATCCGCCAAAAAAGAAAAAGCCAAAAAAGTAAACTAAATGCAAAAACGTACACCCAAAACACAAATACGTATACACAGGTATCTGTAAAAAAATCCAAAACCAGTAGGTGCTCCAAGAAACCGAGTTAAAAAAACGAGACGATGGAGCCAAAGCTTGGAGGATCTCTCAAGGCAAAAAACAAGGCCTGTACCAAAATATCACAGCAAGGAGAGAAGAGTCGCAGTAGCACAAAACTATCCAGGCAAGAGAGGCAGCATCGAGGAACGCAGCTTTTAAACTCATAAACACAGTCATCACTTAGTAAAGGCTCCAGTACAAACGTTCCAGGCAACATAGGAAACACAGCATCAAAGCAATAGGCCCCAAATCGAAGCATCAACAGTCGTAACCACTTCCAAAAATAATAGCCAATTCCACAGCAGATGCCACCCAAGGGCACAGGATCTGAAAACAAGGTTAGAAGAAAACAAATCGCAAAAATATCACCCGTCACTAGAAACATCAAAGTTCTAAGAGACCAAACAGAGCAATAGGGCTCCACCAGCTACGCCATAAACACAAACGACTGCCTGAAGATGCCAAAGTCACAGAATACAGTAGAGTTAGTTGCATAGCAGGCAGCAAACCCTATCCAAAAGAAACACCAGCAAAGAGAGTATAGTGCAACATAAAACACTTCCCCTCATTACCAAACAAAAAGAAGACATAAACAAAGCATCCCCTGCCCTAGAAACCACCAACCCAGAGTGAAGTACCAAACAGCTAGGGCTGAACAAACGGGGCATCAAGAAGATCCCCAGAGATCAAATTATATGAAGTCGGAGGTGGCACTCTACCAACAAAAATATTGTTACAATTAGCACCGGCATTAGCCAGCCAATTAACCGGCCTATTTCCCTCTCTAAATATGAAACTCCAAGTGATAGAAACATGCACATTAATTTGTTTAATTCATTTGAAATAATATGAAATGTCCCACGGCACCGCTCTACCCTCATAAAATCAAATATGAAAATTCACACAAAACCTATAAACACAAAATAAGTAGTCTGACTAAGTGTTGTACAAGCAGTCATTACATATCTCATCGTAAGTTAAAAAAAATTCATTTGAGAGGTTTTTTTTGTTATATATATATATATTTATTATTTATTTTTTTTATGCGCGCATGTGTGTATAAGGGCAAACCATATTTTTTGTTTTTCTATATGAATTTTAAACTTGCCACGTATTTTTTAAGCAAGCAAATATAGAAAGGTATTCATGCATCTTGTCCACGTTTGAAAAGTTTGTATTCTTTTAATAACTTGCTAGAAATTACAAAATATGCATTTTGTTTCTGCCAATCGTTGGCAATTGTGTTTTGTTTTCCATTTATTGTTGTAGCCGATTATAAAATTTAATTGTGGTTCTATTACTAAATAAATGAAATTATGTATGTTTTTATGGTGCAGATTGGTGATTTTCAATCTCTCAAGCTTCAAAGGCCAGTAGTCTGCATCGGTGGAGTCCTGCAATTTGAACTACTAAGTAGGGATCCTTCAGATGAGTCGTCCGACATGAGGTTAGTTTTTTAATCCTCGATTAATATGCAAAGAATCAAGTTTGGCTGGTGAGAACTCTATCTTATTGGCTTATTCTATAGAACCCTAAACGATGCGTGATATTTTAGTCATTACTTGGTATGTTTGTGCTGCCATTGGCTTGGTAGCTACTTAGCTTCAAGTTTCTCTTATTATATGCATCAATGGCTTCTCTAGGACATTAATAATGGCTTCTAGGGTTAAAGCAATTGTATGCCCTCTCGCACCAGCATTCGAAGTGAGCCTTCTCGACAGAATGGGAGACTCAATTTTGATGTACTTTCCTGGTGCTATACCGTATCTAGAAGATTTTTTTGTACAAGAGCCTTCTTTCTCGTCGAGACGTAAATTTTGGAGAAAAGCAAAAAGGAGAAGAAAGAACTGGTAGGAATCATGATTCTGAGTACAGTCATTAGAGTCAGTGTCCATCATTGGATGAAGGGGGTTTTATAAGTTTAGAGATGAAATATGATATTTAGAATTATCATGTATGGTCTGAATCTTCTAAGAGATGCTACATTTCCAGAGGCCTATACTTTTAAAAATTCTGGTGCAATGTATATTGTTCAACGGCTAGTTTCTTTAGATAGTTTGTGTTTGAAAGTGAAATTGTTGGAATGTGATTGTATAGAAGTTTGCAGGTGAATTTTAATGATGTTTATTTGATTTGCATGAGTTTGCTTTTTAGTAATTAAATTTTTAATGTTTGTTTAAATTGTAATATTTTTATTGTTTCATATGATAGTTTTAGTATGAATAACAATAATATTTTATATGGCCATACATTTCCTTAAAAATGACAATGAAATTGTTTTATATGGACGACAATGAATGGGTCATGCAACTAGCATTTTAAATCATTCTCTTATAATATAAGGAATAACAATCTACTGATTCATCAGATATGGTGCAAGAAAACTTTTTTTTTGGAATTTAAAGTGTTTTTCATGTAAATATAATCTACACGATACACTGATTATTTTCTTTTGAAAAGATGTATTTTTGGTGGAAAATTTCCTTGGTCACATTGGGCAGCTGCAGCTTATTGAATAATCTGCTGATAAGCTAGGTGCGATGGCTATTAGAAATTTTCATTTTTTTTGGAAAAGTCAGACCGTTGCTAGAAAGTTGTCATCGCACCTAGATAGGTGCGGTGTCCGCACCTAGATAAATGCGGTGTTCGCACCTAGATAGGTGCGGTGTGAAAACGTTTTTTCACAACACATAACCTACCAAAACGCAGTTTATCCAAACAGTACAGGTGCGTTTTCAAAACGCCACCGCACCAAATAAGCTGCCCTAAATGAACTCTTAGTCTTCTCTTGCATTTTTATTTTTATTTTTATTTTGATGTTAGAACCTCTAAATTTTTCTTAAACTCTTTATTATATGATATACTAAAAAATTAGCCCACACATCCCATCTGCATTGAACTTAATGTTTAATAATAATTATATTCTTAGTTTAACAAATATTTATAATTATTTTAAATAATGTATCACAAAATTTAAATTTAAGGGGCAATAACATACGAACTATCCAAAACTTATTATTTACGAATTAGCTTCCTTTCGTTCATTTTTCAAATTTTCACTTAAATATCAAAATTCATGATAAAATTTAAACTCGTAATTTTCTTTTTTATCAAATTCTTAATAATTTAATCGTGGCATGAAAAAATATATTAGTTCGATAATTTAATAAAATCACTTTGATGATAATATACAAATATCAATTTTTCAAGTCGTTTGTATGTAATTATCACTAAATTTAAATATAGAATTTTTTATTAATGATAAAACTTTTAACGGGATTTTGGATCGGAGTCATTGCTTGGTTCGTTAAAGGTTAAGGTAAGATTTTGAAAATGCTATTTTGGTTAGAAAATTAAATATAACTTATTATTTATAAGAAGAGAAGTTGGAGCATATAGCCTCATTTAAACTTTATCATGACATAATTTGGGGTCATTTAATCATTAAATTTGCTTTCAGATTATATTTCTTTTAGTTCTCTAATCTTAATTAGTGCCTAAATCGAGATTGAAAAGTGATCTTTGAAATATCTTCATGCTTGATCTTCAACTGATGGTAGCCCAATTGAAGGTCTATCTTGGAAAACACTGAAGAACCTTATAGTTGATCGAAGAAATCATCTATATGATGCGGTGGGTACATCTTCCTTTGGGTCACCTTATTCAGCTCTCTCTAGTCAATGTGCAACTACATGCTTCCATTCTTCTTTTTCACGAACAAAATTGGTGCTCCATATTAGCTATTCTTGTAACTAGTCCATGGTAGCCATCTAATATAGTGCTTTAAAAATTGGAGTGCTCCCCAAAAGTAATTCTATGGTGAATTTGATCTTACAATCTGATGGAAAGCCATGTAACTCTTTAAGAAATACATAAGCAAATTCTCGAACAATTGAAATATTATCTAAGATAACACCTAATTCCTCAAAATCTATCATATGAGCTACATAGCTAGCACACTCATGGGATATCAACTTATAATCCTTAATGTCCAAAATTAAACAAGAAATAGTCCTCTACTCCCCTTAAAGTAATAGAATACTGAGCCAGGTATGCAGAAATTCACCCTCCTCTTACGACAATCTATAATTGGATGATATGTGAATAGTGAGTCTATACCCAAGATTACATCAAACTCAGCTAGTGGGATACTATGAGAGCAGCAAGGATATGCTTGCTATTGATGACAATGTCACAATCACAGACACACTGAGTAACGATTACAGGTGAGCTAGATGGCAATTGATATTTGTGATTGTAATGAAAAAACCAATGTACTAGATGCAAATTTGTTTGAAATGAATGAATGTGTTGCCTCATAGTCAAATAACACCCTTGTCAGTTATTTTAAAATAAGGATACATCAGGAGTTTCATGAACTTTCCTCCTGCGTCATAACGAATGCTTGTGGTGGAATTGCTTTTTTGGGCTGCTTTGGAGCATGAGCTGACGAGGCTGGTACTACACTATTGAGGGTTGTTGATAGTGGCAGATGCTATGGTTGTTGGTACTACTGATACTGCGGTGTAGGAGGGCGCGACTAATACGGTTAAGACACCATCAATTTTTTCCATTACTATTGAGGTTGAAATAATTTTGCTTTGCTTGACCCTTTCCATGATGCTTTTGAAATTGTCCTCCATTCAACTTATGCCACTTGTTCTTATGATGAAACTTAGAATTATTTTCCAGGGAGTTTGTCGCTAGCGACTGACCTTGAACTTTGAGGGGACAATCTTTAGCTTTGTGATCGATACTATAACAGTTGAAGCATTTTCCAACGACCAAGTTACACATCCCAAAATGCTATTTCCCGCAATGAGTGCACCGAGGATTTATTTTTGACTTTTTGCCTAGTGATTTTGATGTTGCTTCTTTTGGGAACTCCCATTAGCTTTTATATATGAATTCTTCTGCTTCTCGACATGCTTTTCCTTGCAGGAATTGATCTCTATCTCCACGTGAAGAGCTTGATCAACCAGTTCTCTGTATGTCAGCTGATAGACTCCTCTAAATGTCCTCTCTCAAGCCAATAAGTAGGTGATAGACCTTCTCATCTTCATTTTGATTAATTGATTGGAGAAAAGGGATGAACCTATCAAATTGCATCTCGTACTCCCAAACTGTCTTTGTTCCTTGCTCCAGCTTCCTTAAGCCATTCTTGAGTTTGACTCGATCAAGTATAGAGAAATACTGCTCTAGAAATAATTTCTTGAAATTTGCCTATGTAACTACCATGTCTAATCCAAATGTGTTGTGATGGTGGCTTTCCTACCAATCATCAGCTCCTTCACACAAATGGAACATCACAATGTCCACCTTACGGTCTTCAGATCACTTTATTCTTCAAAGCCTCTTCTTGATGTCATGAAGCCATGCATCAGACTTGATCGGGTCCATCATGTCATTAAATGTATGAGGATGTGTCTTCATGAACTGATCCATCACTTAATCCATAATTCTCACATTCATAGATGTCATTGGTTGATTAGATTGAGCCTCCATAGTAGCCACTAATGGTACTGGTTGAGTGCTTATAATACTGGTTACACCGCTTGCTAGATAGCTTGGACCGCTTCTGCAATTTGAGGTACAAAGTTAGCTTGTAATGCTTAGGTAATATTCTGTGTTACCACTTCTGCGAGAGTCGCTATGTTGAGATTTTATGCTCCAACAATCTCACTGATTTGAGTAGGAACAACAAGATGATGATTATAGAAGCGGAGACCCCTAGGAACAGACATGTCATTTATAGTAGCTCTATGGACTCCTCTTCCAAAAGTGATTGCATCGCCTCTTCCTTACCGAGCCATTCTAAACAATTGAAGGATACACAAAATTAAAATCAATTAAATACCGAGTTACAATAATATTATATCTATCCCTTACCCAATCTTAAGAAGTTAAGGCATATGAGATGTAAAGTTAAGGAAAGTTAAATACTAAACAGATGCTCTGATAACACTTTGTCGCACCCCGGGTCCAAAAGATGGTACCTTCAACAATGTAGGACATGATGAAATGATATGAACCTTTTTTTTATTTTTATAGAAATAATTGCATGTGAATAAAATAAAAAAAGGAATGTAAATTTCATTAATGCAGAAAAGTTCAATGATACAATTGGACTGAAAATAGTAAACTAGTTGAATCAAAATATAAATGATAACTTGAAATGACTACCCAAACCTAATAAGAAAACATATAATAGCTAAAACAAATACCGAGTAAAAAATACCAAAACAGGGAAAATAAAATTGAAAACCTTGCTCTGGTGGATATAGTCCTATTGGTGGCTAAATAGAACATGTTATGCATGATATCAAAGAGTGAGTTTGACAGAAAAACTTAATAAAAAAATAACTATTTATTAAATCATAAATGACAAAGTAAATGGGCCATGCAGTATGGATAATTGTTAGGTTGTATTTTCACTATGACATGGGGCTCTTGAATGCCATGTAGATTTGAATATTTTGGCTGCTTAAATAATTAAGTACGTCATTGAAAGTAGTATACCATATTGAAAGATAGAAATACAATTTCTTATGATGGGTTTGAATATTTTGAGCTAAGAAAATATTAGATATTTGTATTGGTCAGTGATTTAAACCCGTCAAATTATTTTTCCTAGCTAATATGAAGTCTAAGTAGGGTTTAGATTAGTTATGGGGTCTTCTTTTTTCTATAAGGGCAATACCCTATAGTTAATTACATCTTAAACAATTGAAGTTACTTAAGAAAACTCTCAAATGACTCGGAGGCACTTGGTTAGCAGCCATGGGTTGCCACCTCCAAAATTCCTTCTCAAACCGGGTTGTGGTTTATAGTTGAAGCTTAAGTTTTAGTGATTTTAGGGTGTGTTTTATGTTATGTCTTTTATGTTTGTTATAAACCTTGCATTTCAACCCATAGTGTCTTTGAGGTGTTTTTTTTTTGAGTTAAGTGTGCTTTTATTCTCTTATGAGAGGTCAAACATTCCTTAACCTGGTTTATTGTTGCCAATTTTGAGTTTGGTTAATGTTATCTTAGGTTAGCTTGAGTTGGTTTAAGTTTATCTAGATGGCCCAAGTTGGATTGATTTAGACTAGCCCAGGCTAGGTTGGGTTGACCCAAATTTGGTTAAGT